CTCGCGTGCTGGCTGAAGGGGACGCGTTCCCCGCGGCTCGCGGACTGCTGTGCTGCCATGCTGAGCTGGGGCCGAGATATAAAAACCCCTCTCCTCCAGCCCCCGACTTCCCCCCTCACTCTCTCCTCTTTTCCCCCCACCCCCCCCAGTAGCACTCAGCCTCTCGAGCTCTTTAGGTCTCAGACAGAAATACCGAGAGAAGACCCAGGCCTTGAAGGATCGATGGAGTCGTGGCTGGACGATGGATGACGAATGACTGTCTCGGTCGATTCTGACATCCCCTTCTCATTGCTTTCATCCCTCCTTCTATCTAACCCTAATTTCAATCGGTCTTTGTTTGTTTCGACATTCAATGTTCCATTGCCTCCCCGGATTGACTCCCGACTTCTTATTCCATCGGTTGCGACTGAAGAAGGATGGGTAATGTCAGGCCGTCGTTGGCCGATGAAAACCAGGTCAGTATGTATAATTGGAACTTATAAATGGATGCTTGAATTTCAAAATTTTAAAAACTCGATCAAGATGTTTATCTTGATCCGAGTTGGAAGAGGGGCTTGTATCCCCGGTTCTCCTACCTATGAGGGAAGTAGTCTGTCTAGTGAAGATTTTCAGGTAATGTCCTGGCTCCGGAATCGCGTTTTCTTCAGCTTCGGCATCATCGTTTCCTTTCCTCGACTTGGAGATCCAGGTAGTGTTCTTTCTTTGGAGGTCTCGTTAGTCGCCAAGCTTCACTTTCAAAACGATATGTTCGTTTTTTTCTTGTTCTTCGGCTTGGCGTCTTTTCCAAGTTGCGGGCCTCCAATCTGCACTATCCTGTCTCCAAGCTCGGGGAAGGTTCATGATCTGATTCTTGGGGGAAGCGTGAAGAGCTTTGTTGATCCGAACGCCTAAATCTTCACTAGTTCTACTCTCACTTCAACTTGGTCCTCATCAGGGATGACGGAGCTCTTCCCAATTTGATTCTCTTCCAAGTTCCTCCCTGCAGTAATCGCTCCCCAACGAAGTCTAGACATCCTCCTTCAATGTCTCTTCCCGGATAGAAGTCGGCTGAATCCGTAGAGGGGCGGGCCTAAACCACTCGCTCCTATTCTGTTTTTTATGTTTACTTTTTGTCTTCTCGTCAAGATCATAAAAGTAGATTCTGGGTTCTTCGACAGTATCTTCGCGTCTGAGTATCTACTGTGGCCGGGCTGTTTGCTACTTTCCTCCGATCCCCCTCTCACCTTCGTCCTTCGGGACAAGGCCCCCCCCACTGATCATTCAGAGTATGAAGAAAGTCTTAGGGGTTTGCCTCCCTCGGGAAAGCCAGCTAGGGTTACGTGCCCGTCCGACGACCTATTCTGCTCATTATGAATGAAATGATGATTTTCCGCCCCCCCTCCCACCCTTTTTTTCTCTCTGAAGCCATCGGCACCAAGATAAAACCAAGTCGTCTGCCAGCAACCAACTTACAATTTACAAAGGTCCTTTGTACTATTGTATTTCGCTTGCTGACATTCGACCCAAGTTTCTTCTTGGTACCATGTGCAAATTAATCTGCTAGAATATGTTTTCACAACTCGCTTCATTAGTTGTTTTTTTTGTTTAGTTATTTTGTTTTCCCTAATGCACTGCCTTATCTGTAGACAATTGACATATCATGTAGACTCAAGGTGGATCCACTGAGATTTTGAACCCTTGAGGTTGCACAGATGCGTAACACCGAAAAGAGCTAGGATGTTATGCGGGCACTGATTTCATGTGTGCCGGTTGGCACACAACAAGCCGCGCTGTCTAGAGCTACTGTTATCTGATACACTGGAATATCTGATGATGGTGGTCCCAGCGTCCTTTGTGTGCGTCAGAGAATTCAAGGGCGGCATGGTAGGGCATAGTAGAAGTCTCAACAGAGGATAGTTACTGCAGACCGGGCACCCAAATATGTATTTAGCAGGATAAGAAAAATAAGAATACATCCACAGATATGGTAACTCCGTCAGCAGGTGAGAGGTCCAAGGTGCTCTTGATCTACATTTCGTCAACCGAATAGTTGTATGCCTCTGCCCGCAGCTGGTGAAGGTACAAAAAAGAAACATCAGTCAGCATGTTGAACCATGGAAAGTTTCCGTGCAGATGGACATCTTAACGAAGTTGGGGTGCAAAGAAGGAAGGAGGCAGAAGACTTGACTGAACTCTTTTCTGATCGTTTCCGGTTTGGAACAATTTTTTCTCGAATCCGTTGGACCGATCAACCCCATCCCAACGAAATCCAGGGGGAATACCGTACCGGTTCGGCGGTGGCGGAGGACCGTTATACTTCGGTTTCGTAGATTTAGTCGTCGAGTCACTGGATTTCTGAGCAAGCAAGCCATGCAATAAACCAACTTAAGTAGTCAGTCAAATCTATCAACCGCGTTGGAGGAGGAGAGAGATGGATGGGTTATTACTGTAAGGAAGCGTGCGGCTGGATCGTTCCACCTCTGTTTTCCCTTCAACTCATCGTTCAAATCTTTGTCATCAATGGTACTGGAGTGGACAAAACGTAAAGTCAATTCCCAATATAGTTATCTCAAAGTAGTATGAATGAGGCTGACCGGGCGAAAGGCTGGGAAGCAATCTTGCTCAATTCTTCCGCATCGGTTTTGCGGTCTTGCCTCTGCACCAAACCCTTGCCCCACTCCATCTTTTTCATCTTCTTCTCCAGTTCCCGAGCTTGACGACGTTTCTCTTCAGCGCGCATCTGTTTGGTGTCTATCTTCTTCCCCTTCGAGTCTCGGTAAACCGTATCTTCTTCTGGTTCGTCATCGGAGACTTCTCGCTTTGGGACTGTCGGCCTGGAGGACGCGAGTTTCGCCCGGATCTCCGCTGCTGTCTGCAAGCCGCCCACTACAACATTTGTCGAACTACTTGCCACTATTTGTGGCCTTTCATCCTCGGCTTCTCTTTCGTCTTCTTCTTCTTCTTCTTGTGTTTGTTGTTTCTCGGTCCGTTCAGATGGTTTGATGGTCTCCCACTTGGACTCGGCTGTTGCTTTTCCCTTGAAAGTTGGAACGTTTTCCACAACTAAGAATATCAGAATCATTCAAAATCATTTTTAAACTCAACCTGGATGACTGCATGATCATCTTGCTGAATCATGATGATTTGACATACCAGGGTCTATGTCAATTTCATCGTCGCGTGAATCCCACTCGTCTTGCCCGTCCACATCCTTTAGAATCATCCCAGAATACGAAGCGGTAGGTTGTTGACTGGATTCGTTTGGTTTGCCTTTCTTCTTCGATTTCTTCTTAGTCTTCGCAGCAAGGATAGCCTCGGCCTTGGGTCCGGACATATACTTTGAAGCCAAGTAAGCTTGAAGATCGGTGGCCATTTTGAATTCCGCTTGGCCTAGGCTGAGTTGTTGATTTCCTTACGAGTTTCTCGGGATGTATCCAAACTTTGTGGTAATCGGCAAGTGGATGATGGATGGCGGCGGTGGTCAGTGGTGGTTGGAAGTGGGCCAGGTTGCTCGGAGTGTTGAGGGATGTCACAGAAACACAAGGAACGGGTGTCTGGCCAACTGTCACACATACATGCGCCCCCCCCCCGAGAGCCCCCGTTCACGGCATTTCGGTAATCCCACGGTCGCCCGGATGAAGGAACTGGGGTTTGCTGGTGAGCCAGATTTCACAGCAGCAGACCAGCAAGACACCAGGTGGCAGGAACAACGTCAACAAGCAGCAAACTTCACGAGGTCCAATCTATATCGGACAGAGATTCAAGTATCAAGGAAGGATGCTTTCCAAGGATCCCTCTAACCCTGGAAACCTTCCACCTTCCTCATCTGATTCTCGTCTGTATGTTGGTAACCTTTCTCCGGCGGTAGACGAGTAAGTAAATATCGAAAACTTGACGAGCTACACTTGCAAACATAAATCTCATGGTTGCTTTTCCCCTCCCCCGTTAGGTTTGCCTTGGTGGCGCTTTTCTCGAAATTTGGCAAGATCTCAAAGCTTGATTTCCTATTCCACAAGTCTGGTGTCTTGAGAGGCAAGCCCCGGGGATATGCTTTCATTGAGATGAATCGGCGTGATGTAAGTCTCAACGAACATCACTAATCTCTAGGAATTCAAGTTCCTCGGTTATTGTACTGTACTTCAAATTGATGAAAATTCTTGTACACTGGATGGTTGCTCCTACGACGAATTTGGATACTTGGCGCTTGATTTATTCCCGAAATTCATCGTCAGGAAGCGCTCAAAGCGATGGTCGAACTAAACAACAAAGCCGTTCGCGGGAAACGGATTTTGGTCACGCAGGCTAACGAGGTTCGCAGTTCGAAGTTAAACTTGGGTCTTTGATATTCTCTTTGACTGATCAATCAACATTCATGTAGAGTCAATATCAAGAGCATCAAGCTGCTAATCAGAGCAAGCCCAACCATTCACACCAAAACAATTCTAATAATCATCAAGGGCGAGCCGGCCAGCGAGGTAGGCCTGCTGGCCCTGACCCAATGAGACCAACGACTCTCTCCATCTTGAAATCCCAGCAACAACCAAAAGGGTAAATATTTGTTTTTGACAAATTGCGGGTTCACTTGTTTTCAGATGATTATCTGATCTGATACATTTTGATTGTAGAGTCAACAATAAGATCGCGGCTTTGGAAGCCAAGTTAGCGTCGATGCAACAGACGGGTACTTTGTCTACGGCCACCCCCTCATCTTCCAATTCTCTTGTCCCATCGGCATCGTCCCTTTTGTCATCAAAACCTTCCTTCCTGCCCGAACATCCTAACACCCTTCGCGCAGCACCGCACACCGAAAATAACACATCAAGGCGGTCTTGCAACCCCAGTGCCACGGCCTCTACAAGATCTTCCAAAACCTCGACCAATCCTCACAACCTTGGAAAACAACCTACCAATTTGGACACGATTGGTCTTACACTAAAGGAACAACTGAAACGCAACCGAGAGTTACAATCAATGATCACCAAGACCGCAAAACCCGCTTCAACAGCCCAACGTCAAGAGCATAATGACATTCCTACCCATACAACCAGCCCTCGTCCGAAGAAGAGCAGAAGTCATTCAACCAGCTCGAATAATCACGGCGAACTGAGCTCTTCACATCTCTCAAATCCGAACAGTTCCGTCGATGTTTCTCTCCAATTGACCGAGAAGGCCTGCGATACGGATGATAAAGAATTTAAGCGACAGAAAGTAGATCATCCCTCTGCTCTATCTGAATCAGTCGAATGCTCCAAAATACCTGAACCAGTGGCCTAGCCTTTACCAAATAAGCTATCACTTGATTAATCGTCTACAATCCTTGTATCAATATCCTCACCTGTTTATTGACATAATATAACTCCCTTCAACAAACGAGATCACCTGAATAAAAATAAAACATGTTGTTGTTTGAATTCTTCTATGGGAATTATTAGAAAATCAAAGTGTCAAAGATTGTTTTTCTTGATTTTTTTTTTTTGTGTTTTTTCAGTGATTTGGTAAAAATCCATGAAAACACTGTTCCCCTACCCTTCAATTCACTATTCATGTAGGTTCTGGAATTGATTTCGTCTCAATTCGCCGTCCACATCTGATGCTCCCCAGTAATGTAGCCTTGTTCATGCGTTAGATATTCAGAATCAGCAAGCACACTCTTCTCAAGGTCTCCATATGTGAGCAACCGGGCCCCTCGTCGGTGGTGAGGATTCCTTCCAAGGTGCGTCCCCAGTTTGGCGTACACGGGTGCAAGCTTAGGAGGTTTTAGCTGGGTGGGGAAAAACATGTATACATGCTTACAACTCTTGTCAAAATCCTTGGGGTGCACGTATGCATCGTTGGGTACATTGCCACCATTGACCGAAAGCACATATTTATGTAGACTCCTGCATTCTTGACGCATTATCAGCGATGCTTGGTTTGTAACTATTACGTTTGCTCAAACGCGTCTGTGCGAAGATTCTTCAACATTCTTCGGTTCATTTTTCAGGCAGGCAGCCTCCCCTCTTATGGCTGTGTTCTAGCCTGCGGGCGTCCATGGGGTTGGATTTGCTCTCAATCTACCGCTCTTGTGGAGTGCCATGACTTTCTCGCCGGACTCGCAGGAACACTCGTCACGGACCACATTCACCTCACCAATGCCATACCCGGTCGAGTTGACTGGACAGTTGGATGCGAGGCCGGCTCCATTTTCGAAATCGAGCTCTAGCTAAGGATGAAACACTCCAGGAAAAGCTGTATGTGCGAGCGATAGCATGTGCAGACAGACGTACAGTCTCTATCACACCGAGCCCGGCGGGCTTATAGCTTAAACTCCCAACCGGTCGGTCTAACATAGACTGTCCAGCCGTGAAGAATCCCGAAGGGTATGTAGAGGGCACAAACGTAGTGCAGTCCTCGGCCCACTCCGACATGGTTTCCGATTCTGTCCACAAGACTGCAAAGAGAACCCACGCCCGAACGAGCTGCTCGCATACAGCTTCAGGATTTGTAACTTCGCCTGGGCAAATGTGGTGTTTGGGGGTCCCAGAGCTGCCCAGAGCAGCTGCTGGCAGCTGTATGAATGTTTCACCTAGCATCAAAACTCGAAGCAATAGTTCGTGATCGGCTTGTAATGATCTTGAAACAAGAGCTTCAATTTGACATGCATCAGAGCTGGTATATGTGGAAGAGAGAAAATTGCTGGCCAGAGATATGATGATTTAGGGCGCTGGTCTACCCGGCATCCGACATTTGCCTCTGCCAAGATTCCCTCACTTTTCCATCATCTTCAGAGAAAATATCTTAATAAATATTTATATCGAGGATAACAAATCCTGACTTCCTGAGCTTCTTTGCTCAACCGGACCTGTTCACTCCCGTGGCACCCTGCCAAAAGACTATCCTCACTCGACAACGCTCTCTACCACATTCATTGATCGCAAATAATCACTGGGAATCTATAAACATACAAAAAAATCAGCCTTATCAAATAATATCTATCTTAGACTTAATTAACAAAAAAAGAAACAATCATGAATTCCAAAGTCTCTTTCAGCGTTTTGGCTGTGGCCATTATCTGCTTACTGCCCATGACCTCAGGACACTCTACATATTCCATGGAACAGACCTCCTCCAGTTCATCGTCCAACTCCACAACGAGCCAAGGGACCATTACAGTTGGAAGCACCGAGCAACCTCGCTGGCGAGACCACGCCCCAGATGAGGGCTCCCAACCATCCAAGTCTTCCGACCAAGATGATGATGATGACTCGGAGTCGGCCCCAGAGTCCGAGAAACCAACCCGGACAACTCCGGGGAGCTATGGGCAAGAGCCAGAATACATGGGAGGCGCCCCTTACTCGAAAAACTCGACGTATATCTCAGACCCATCAGTTCCCTCTCCTGATACCCCCACCCCAACAGTGAATTGTCCCGGCCCAACTGATCCTGCCACCGGGGAAGGATACCTAGACTCCGACCAAAACTGTGCCATCGGTAAGTTTCTTCAGTACCAACTGCTGCAACGAATCAAGAGCAGACGGATACTTATTTCCATTCTCCCTTTATAGCCTGTTACAATAACCTTGTCCTCAATCAAGCTGGTGATGCTTGTGTCTGTCCACCCACATTTCAATTTGATCCGGTTGAAGTCAAATGCATCTGTCGCAGGTGGGTTCGAGGTATCCTCGCTCCCCCACATCGAGGCTCCTCAAATTGCTGATCAAAACAATCCTTGTCTGCCATCCACAGTCCGTTTGTCCTGAGAGGCTCCAAATGTGTCTTGCTCCCATCCCAAGTAGCAGGTGCTCGTCATTCCAACAAGAAACGATCCTTGAACAGCCAATTGCCATTTGGAGTCGAAATGCTGCACGGGAAATATCTGCGAACCGAAGTGGACCGCTTGAACTGCCGTGAGTACCTCCCCCCAGAGCAGGCCGGGATGATTTTACATCAGCTCATCATTTGAACCCAATGACCCCATATCACTCTATAGCGTCCAACGAAATTTCCTGCCAGATGCCAAGTGGAGGGTACGAGTGCCTCGATCCCGATGTAACACTTGACTCGTGTGGCGGGTGTCTATCCGCCGGCACAGGAGTTGACTGTCGCAACATGACTGGGGCTGGAGACGTGGGCTGTAGTGCAGGTGTTTGCGTAAGTCTTTTTCTTCCAGGCATGCAAAATAGTCAAGTCACTAGAGCAACCCAACATTGATCCATTTTTCGTATCGTCAACAGCAAGCGATCACCTGTCAAAAGGGATACCGATTGATCGATGGAAAATGCATCCGAAACCCGCGCAGAAGATCTTGAGTCGGTCCGCCCCACCGAGCTTGACGCGCAATCTTGTCTCTACTTGCGCTTATCGACCCTCAAGACGCCCCATACCTCATCTTAAAACACAAAGCAAAAAATATCCACTCAAATATCGATAAGAGTGGACAATATTATCTAAAGAGGAAAAAAAAAAATCATTTCAAAATCAAACACTCTCAAGCAGTAAAAAGGTGACCGGATGTCTCAGTCAAACTGGGTTGTTGAAAGGAAGCCACTTTCTTGTGAATGCTTTCGTCTTTTTTTCGCAGGTTTCATTCATTTTCCATTTGGTATAACCACACACTATACGCTCGTTAACCACAGTACCACTTCCTTTTTCTTTTTCTTTATCTCTGCGCTACTACATACACATCTTAAATTATATTTGTACTACATCTTCGCAAGCAATCATTTTTTGGAAATCAAATATTATACTGGGAATTGTAGACCTTTGGAGATCTTGGACAGGTCTCTGGCCATTCATCTGATTCTAGATACTTCGCAATGTTACATGGAGATTCGAAAAAGCTGGTCAGATTGTCTCTCCGCTTGATCTTTGCGGGTCAAAATTGTGGGGTGTCCAACAAATCCCGCGAATCAAATACGTAGTTTTTGACCAACAATAATATATAGCCTTACTAAGCAGACAAGAGGGATAGTGACAGCAGGTTTCATCATTTCATTCATGAGAATCACTATCTCTTTATTTTTGCTATTCTACAGTAAAATACAGATGGAAAATGTGGCGTGTCCATGCCCCCGGGAAACACAGTCAGGGGTAAGTAGATAGAAACGGTAAGCAGTTGAATGGGAAGCATTTGAATGAGGAGACGGATAATCTTCTATCTAGAAAAAAAAAATGTTCCTAAAAGATTTCACTGTTTCGAGCCTCGTGATGATTCGTGAGTAGCCAAGTGTGAGCCAAGTTGGCTGGGTGGCAATCAGATGGTGGGTGTTTAACTTCCTTTAGACACCAACAAACAACTGTTGCACGCTGATGATCGGGCAAAGACTAGTCTCAGCTCCGCGGGCATTTCTGGTTTCATTGAAGATTGAGAGACTTACAGAGCCTGCGGTACTTGTTTGCTTGAGATGAGCATTCATAGTATGTGTCAGATGCATCTCGGGCCTCTACGAACCGGGTTGTTCAAATAATCTCCAGGCTCAGCTCCCATTCCAATCTAGCAATTGCATCGCATTGACAACATACCTATGGAGCTGCCCTCGTCCTTGTAGAAAAACGGCTGAACTTCCTTCGCTTTTCCAAATGGCTTGGCAGTGGGTGTTTGAATAGCTCGGCATTCACGGAGTGAAAACCCATTCGGAACGTTGACTGATAGTCATATACCAGTACGAGCAGGTAGCAAGGAAAAATGATGATACTATTAAGTGGGTGAATCCTTGCATGCAAAAGTCACGGTGTGCATGACTCACAGTGGGGGCAATCCCTGAAGTCGCAGCTGTAAACAGATTTATCGGCTGTTTGGCATCCTGCAAATAAGTTTCGGATGGATTAGGAGATGGTACTATGGGATTTCAAGTATGGAAGGAATTCTCACTTACTTGAATGACCATCGGGTCCATTTAAAGTAAAAAGCAGAGAGCATGTTTTGATAGGTTCATTGCCTCTGTATCTTCGTACAATGGAGTGTGGGTGTGATTCTAACAGCTGAACAGAAGGCAAGAGAGTCATGGCAATGACTGCGTAGAGGAAGTAATGAGATCTCTGGATCCAGTTTGCGGAGAACATGGTTGATCGCGGCTATGAACAATGGCTGAAGTGTGAGAGTGGATGGTTAGTTCCTGAGTGGGAGTTGACAGATGATGCGCTGAGAGGGCGAAATGTTGAAGATATTATATAGTATAATAATAATATACCGGATTGATTCATGGCCCCACACGCCTGGGTCCTCCACTCTTGATTGTCAGGAACGGCATACGGTGTATTGCGTGGTGTCCTCTGTCCCCTGATCAGGGTTTACTGGGAAGCGCTGCTACATGCACCGCGGGTGCAATTTGGGATTGCACACCCGACCCTGCGACGGCATTGCCCCAGCGGCGCTGGGGCAGCGCCGTCCCAGGGAGCAAAAAAGACCTGAAAACAGTCTCGTCGCGAGGCTGTTGTGATGATGGCTCTCCTCCTGATCAAATGGTTTTGGATACACTTGTGACGGTTTTTTTGCGGGAGGTCCCCATGACACCAAACTTCAAAGTGCACCCGCGGCGTATTGGAGCTTCCGCTTTTTGAGCTGATTTGAACACCTCATGGGCTGATCTGGAACGTTTTTTTTTCTGTGACCGTTGATGTCTCCAGCGAATCAAAGTGCAGCAGACATTTACGCGTCCGCCCTTGATTGCCCAAGTGCAACGTGTACAGCATGGCTCCAACTACCTCATCGTGCGGGCTGATGTGAGGGTCGCCTACTGTACGTTACTTTAGCCAGAAAATAAAAATGTCTCAAATGCAAATTCCCTTTGCCAGCCCTTGCTTCGGAGGCCGGCCTGGTATGCTAGCTTAACAAATCACCTTGACAGAGGACCGGAGGCACCTCGCGAAGCAAGCCTCTGAAACTTGAAAGAGGGGATGAGGCGCTTTGCACCAACCTGGCTATACCAGGCCCTCTGATTGAGGGACTTGGCTTAAGTTAAGCACAACGGTAGGAATTAAGAAAGATTATCAAACGTGTATGTCAGATCTTGTCCAACTTGCTTGCTTGCGAAAGTTAATCACAAAGCGGCCCGGAAGGGCTAGCCACACACGCCTCCATCTGATACGCAGGAGTCCATGTGGATTACACGCCAACGAATGAAAGCTCCAAGTTGTACGTATCTGATACCAGCAGCTCTCAAATCTCATCATCTCAGCCCATTTTGCTGTGAAATATTATGAAGCCTTGGCTGCTGCTTAAAGGAAAAGGCTCTCCAGCAGGGTATCATTCCACTCCACCATGTTTTTTCTCCTACTGGTCAGCTCCAGAGAACTATTGTTTCAGGTTTTTTATGATTACAGATCTTCTATTTCCATCCACATCATTGATAATATTCATCTCTACACAGGGCTTAGAATAGTCAATGGTTTGGTTGATGCTAAACCAGGTAATTATCTGATCTCTATATGGCGTGTATCTAATGATGACGTGTTGACGGTATATACATAGATCACCATGTGGAATGTCTCTAATGATGAAGTCTGTTGATGGTATAAACATAAATCAAGACTTGGCTAATCTTTAACAGAAAGCAATAGCCTCAACTGATGGAGTCTGGCGGATGATGTTTTTCCGCATCCAGCCCAGAACTACTAGCGTTGTGAGCCTTAGCCACTGAAGGTTGAGGGGACCCTTGCGATGATCAGGCGACCAACGATGGATCTTCGGCTGTGAGGAAATGGTGATGTGTGGATGATAGATCGTCTTGCGCAAATCGACGGGAGTTGAGTGCACAATCGACAGCCGCTTTGGCCCAATCGATCGCATGGTTGTGGTTGGAGGGCGAGGAAGGATCTAGGCCGGATCGGATCAGCGCCTGGGCCTCCGTCAAACATGTCAAGACCCCAAAGATGATCGGCTTGTTGTGCTTGATGGATACTTCCATCAGTTTTTGTGACACTGAATCTGCGATATATCTATGAGTCACATGTAATGTTCAAACAATACTAATAAGCCTAGTAGTCATCGAGTGGGTTATTGACATGGATCCAAACTGCACTCAACTCGAAATGCATCGTGTCTCCCTTGATCAATACACCCATCGCGATGATTGCGTCAATGTCCTTATGCATCGTAGGATTAGATAAAACTCTATTATAATCAAGAACCCAAGAGCACATCAGTGTCAAGTCATTCAATGCTTATGAGAAAGAAAAAGAAAAAAAAAAAGAAGGGATCTTAACGAATTACAAGCCCAAGGAAGTTCATAAGAACCAGGGACAGATTGGATTAGGATATTTTCAGCTTTCAAGTTCAGGGATTGAAGTGTTAGGATAGAGAACTTGAGTAAATTGTTGATGATCGTCTTATTCCATTCGGTATGAATGATCAAGATTTTCATGTTTGAGAGATCGGTGGTGGATTGGTTCAAGTTCTTCAATGATAGTGGTGCTTGTTTGATGGTCTGTTCTTTCGCTTGGCTGTCCTCCATCTTTGGTCTATGTTTCTGGTGTGCTTGAGTGTGTGGTGATGATGAGAAGATGAGGATGCAGTGAGGAATCGATGGTGGTGTTGGCCGGGGAGTGTAGCCGGACACCTCCCCTTACCCCGTCCCGGCCCCCCCTTTCCCCCGGAGTAATCGAATTGGAAACAGCTCAACTCAGAGAAATGTTGAGATCATTGACTTATCATGAACCCCTCAAGATCGATGACTGGACTACTGACGAGGCGATGGCTGTCGTGTGCCTCGAACAGCCGGAGACTGGGCGCCGATTCACCGAGGAAACTCTGGCGGTCAACAATCACAGGTTATCAGCTTCATCCCACTCCGACCGGGTACCACCACCCCTGCAAACAGCCCATGGACAATCACATGAACACGAGATACTACTCCGTGGACTCCAGCCCTTCACCATTCACCGTCTCGTGAGTTCACCTCAAATAATCACCATCATCGTTGTATCAACGAAGGAACTTACCGCAAATCACCTTACCACTTGGATTCGATCCAACGCTGTCAAAAAAAAACAAATCAAAAAAAGAGACTTAGATCCTCAAGAATTCCACCAAATTTCTGATCAAACGCTAGATGAGCTAACCGAGGCACTCGAGCGACTGGTCGAATCGGACCATCCAGAAGTCACCGGCTGGGATGTGGATTATTCGGTACGCACCTCCCATTCCAAAAAGGGGGTTTTTTTTTTTCGATTCTTCAATTGCTGATAATCTTCTCTCCTCAAAATTGAAAAAGAGCGGGGTCATGAATTTCTCCATGGGCCATCATGGCACTTACGTGATTAACAAACAGCCTCCAAATAAACAAATATGGCTATCTTCACCATTCTCGTTAGTTCTTTTTTTTACTGATGAAAAAAAAAAAGAAGATAACTGACATTGGAGGTGTTTTTTTTGGGGGCTGACAGAGGTCCTAAGCGGTTTGATTACGATAAGAGCCGGAAGAGTTGGTTTTACAGTCGAGAAGGAAACGAATTGATGGCCTTACTGAGCTCTGAAATCGACAGTATCTTGGGCAACCAGTTCTTTTCTCAACTGTTACATTCCTCTTCGAATCTCCCACAACAGTAAAATCAGGACATTGTCAACAACACCAACAATAAGCATAGAGATGTAGAGTGAGTGAGTGAAAAGATTGGGGAGATTAAACACTCAAAAAAAAAACATCTCAGGGGATGTGGGAAAAGGGTAGGAATTTATTTAATCCGTTGGAGTGATTCAGGAATTCTTGATTATCTGAAAATTCCAATATCCTTCTTAATTCAATCTGAACACTCTTTGTGGGAAGGATTCTGTATAGGCCAAGCTAACTGTACCCAATCAAAATAGCTACTCAGGCTTCGTTTATTTTTAGTTATCAGTTATTTTTTGGCCACATGTTAGTGTGGATTGGACAGATGAGTAAATATCTAATTCATCACTTGCTCATCTGCTTGACTACATCCCACAAGAAGCCCCATTCTTCACCGACTTTTGCTCTGCTATTTTCTCTGCTTGAAATTTGAGCTCTTAAGTTAAAAAGAACGGCAGACATAATGTGTTTTTTTTGTATGGAAAAATATTTCACTATCACTTGGTCATCAGCAAGCATAAACAACTTGAGAAGCAAGAGGAAATTGTGTTGTTGGGTGCTTTCTACCAAACTATTCACAACCTGGTCCCTTGAAACTTTGTATACCCATCACCAACTGAAAGCTGTTTATGACACAGCTGGTTTGAATGCTCTTTTCCTTCCTTTTTTCATTTGACAAATCCAGTTCCAGCAAAGCGCCGCAACACTCATTGAAATTTAAAGGAATGATTTTGAAATCACATGATATCTTCATTATTTACAAGTGCATGTACTCACCTCACCTGTGTATTATGCCTCAACAAGGCACATCTGTTGGTTTTTCTCTTTCGAGCAAAATGATAAAATAAGCATGGATACTTACTCCAGAAGCAACCCAAATCAAAATCTGATTGGATTTGACCAGGATATTTGTAACAGATTATAGGACTTTATTGATAATCAGTGAAGAATCAATGTGTTTGTCACACACATGACATCAGCCACATTAATGATTGATAACATACAAAAGAAGAACCCCCTAATTGTGAAGTCCTTTGAAAAGTGGATTGAAGGAGACAGAAAAGAAAAAAGGAAGATACATTACAGGAATAAAGCTATTTCCACACAATGATCATCTCTTGTAATCTAAGTATGAAAATAGTTTCTTATAAGATAACAATAAACACGCAACAATATTTCTATGAGATGTGAGCAAAGTTGATGAATGATCTGTCTAAGTAGGAGCCTTAGTTAAGTCAGCCAAGAAGAGGATCTGTTGGGCCCAACCAGCCCACGGGCCCCAAGTGGAGACGAAAAACTGTTGGATTTTGAGGTAGTTCGGTCGGGTGAGAGCGGGTGGAGCAGAAGAGGTTGGATTTGAAGATTTACGCTTGTTAGACGGGGAGAGATTGGATGGGACTTGAGAAGGCAGATCAAGGCTCTTTTTCTTCTTCTTTTTGCTGGGAGAGGCCTTAGATGATGATGGTGATGGTGAAGGCTTCGTTCTTACTGATGATGATCGGTCGAGCTCACTTTCTTTCTTGTTTTTCGCACCTACCGATCGGTCGCGGTTGGCAGGATTCTTCTTGGTGGTGGTAGACGAATTAAGGTCCAGTTGGTAGTCGCGCAAGGCGATCTTGTAAATGTGGATGTCGACTGGGACGACATGGACAAATCCTAGCCCGAATAAACAGATGCAGTCGCCTACTTTAGGTCCTACCCCTGGGAATTGATTGACTAGTTTGGAGTGTGCTTGCTCATAGCTCTGAGAGGCTAGGAAGTCCAAAAAATCTTGTGGTTCGAAGCTCGATTTCTTCAGCAGAGCTGGTTTTTCTTCTTCTTCCTCCCCCTCCTCCTGTTTGTTGTGCTTATCAGTCGACTCTTGACAATCAGGATCGAGGAAGCCAGGCCAACGGTTCTCTTTCTGAGCTTCCGACGCGATTTCACAGAGCTTGATCGAGGTTTTGTACACGTAACTAGCCCGATAACCGAACCCGAGTAGTTTCAATTTGTCGATCACATCGGGCTGAGATAAGCGTCTTGGAGATGGAAACGAAAAGAATTCCAACCGAGGGGAGCTGGGATCGTGTGCTACCACATTTTGGCGTTCGAGCATGCTGGGAAGGGTGATCCCTAACGGCGGACATGGCATAGGATCTCCGAAAGTGGCACATAGTCGGTTGAGCATTAGTGATATCCGAGGGATGTTATTGTTGGCCGAACAGATAAATCTGATACAAAACATGATCAGCGTTCAGATATCCAATCGACGGGGTCTTCTATGGGGAGACACGCGTACGATATCATCGTCTCCCAGCTGTCTTGCCGAACGACACGTAATCCATCCCATTCCCCCGATGCCACTTTATTCGAGAAGACCGGGTCGCGTTCAGACCAATCGTGATACAAGTTGACCAATGATACGTCCAAGACGAAGTAAGCTTTTAGCAAGTCGTAAGTCGTATTCAGCTTGCAATCCTTATCGTATTCTTCGATGTGACTCGGTCTATATAATGCAGTATAATAAATGCCTTGATCTACAAATCAGAAAGACAAATGGGTATGCTATAATTAGTCCTTATTTATTTCTCTATTTAGAGATGGGGATAAGATACTCACCATCTTGTCTTAACACCACAGTACGATCGATCCAGGCCATGCTCCATTCTTGAAGAGCCACACTCGGACTTGGGTGTAGATCATCCGGTTCTGGTTTTCGGTCTTCATGATGGCCATGATGGGTTTGTTGGTCACTGGTAGAGGGTAATTTGAGGATCAGTTGGGATCGATTCCACCTAAAAGTCTGCCCGCACTTCAATACCGCCGGTAGACTCAGTTCAGCTCGGGAGATAGGGAAGAAACGAACGGGGACGATCAGCTCGCTTTCGCTCTCTATACCCTTGTCGTGTTTGTCCTCGTCCCCAGTAGATGAGAATGAAGAGAGTGGTGAACTGGTTGAGGGTCGTTTGTCGTCTGACTCGAGCATTATGAGTGGGTTCTTTGTTGTTTACAGCATCGCCAAACCCAAAACTAAAACAAACCACTTCAAGAAAGAAATTCCTTTGATGGTAAATATGTAATGCTCCAGCTCAACTGACCCATCAAAACTCCTATTCTTCTGCTCCTTCTAGCTCCTCTCTCAGAAACTCAGATAGCACCCATGCATTGCTCAACCGAACCAAGTCCGGACACAATGACGAAATAAAAGTCACCCTTGGATTTGACTAATTCAGAAAAAAAACTTCAAACTGTGGATTGCAAGAAAACAAACATTGATAATGCCGGACGACAAAAATCCCCAGAGATTGAGCGCATTGCCTCAGCAGCGCTCTACATATATGTCAGATCAGGCCTCGATATCATACTTCAGGAGCCACGAAAATATAATTTTTCGCCACCCATTTTTTTCTTCGAAATGAGTTGACTGCGACTTCATTTTTGATGAAACGTGGCACTCACTCGTCATCAGCTTTCTCGGCCCCGTGTACAACTTGCGCACCCTCGTAGTCGGATGGCAAAACTTGCCAAGCATATAAAATTCAAATAGGGCTCAGGATTGAACGTTGATGAATTCACTCTGATGGCATCGTCGAGCGCGCAGTTACTCCTTGTACGGAATGTCACACTCAAAACAATGCGCAATCAACCTAACTCCGAGGTACAGACCCTGGCACATATTTATTTAAATAGATGCAGTGTGATCCAGTTTTCGAGTGGGTTACCGGAATAGTGACCGTTGTTGGCATGATGCAGAGCTTGAAAATCACAGCATCATCACCGACCTGGCGTGTCACAAGTTTCTCCAAAGTCTGGCTTACTTCCTATCAATATCTTGACATCTATCAAGCTAGTTTACTCAGGTTGTGGATTGTTGGTTTTGTGCTTCTTGAAAGCAACCCAATGCATCGAGACACATGGTGATTTTGATTGACCTGTACTGATATTTGCTGGGCAAAACGAGAGCTGATTCTGAATTCCTTGATTGATGTCTTCTGCCAAATGGAGCACCCACGTCTGCTGGATCGCCAGGGAAACACATCTCGAATTCTATAAGGGGCACCATCAATGTTGATCTGAGACTACCAGAGAGACTCCCTCAGAGCATGATTGAAGTACCCCAAGTCACCAAAGAAGAAAGAAAACAAGTCCAACAATATGTGGCAACAATTTGCCAGTTTGACAAAGAGGATAGTATATTGCCCAAGATGGGTAAGCTAGATTAATGAATAGATGAGAAACTACAACAAAATTGATTGTTTTTGTTGTTTCTTTTCTATCTTTACAATTCAACTGGATATCACTCTGAAGGTCAAGAAAATGCAATAGCGGGGTTCACGATAGTGTTTTTCGCTTCTCGCACCCGTTATTTTTTTTCTTGCTCGCGCATTGCTGACGTCAATTTTCTCAGCAAAAATTTAAAGTTCCGCGCTAAATTTTAAGCCTGCAGCAGCGCTGCGGTTTCTCACGCGAGAAGAAATCGCTTCTTGCGAGAAGCTATCATGAACCCCCCTAATAAGCTTTTTGCGTTCTGAACCCCGCTTAAATTCTTCCTGGATCCGGAAATTCTGAGCTTAAATTTAGCCTTAAATTAAGCTCAGAATTCCAAATCAGGAAGGCAAATTTAGCCTTAAATCAACGGTTGGCCTATCTGTGCGCGGCTCCGGCAACTTGAGGAGGAAATTGATCAACAAGTGAACCTCAACTCCAACCCAACCTCTCTGATACACTTCTCAAAATCAACCCATCAAATATCGATTCTGTCCAGAGGCAACCGTGTTGGTTGTTGTCTCAATTTGTTTCTAATTTTTTTTAACTTACTAACTGACTGATTTGTTTTTCTTTCACTATTCCCAGATCATGGATATCCCACTGCCATCTGCTCAAGATGAATCAACCAAACCAAAACAATTTCAAACAAAACCTGAGATGATTATCTATTGAGCAGAACTAGCTAAGAAGAAAGACGCATTGGAAGCAGCCAAATTACTTAAGAATAGGCCTCATCCAAAAGCCGTAAAGGCTGCCGCTGGAACCTCTGGAGCAAAGTCAACTAAGCCAATTCGGGCTGTGGATAACAATCCTCAGTTCATTACCTGTGACTTTGAACTTATATGTACTTATCTTGAAGATCCGCATCACTACACAGTGTCACAGAGATCTACAGAAACGGACCTTGAACAGGGGTGGGACAGCAAGTCATGACAAAATCAGCAGCTTACAACCGATTTGCAATATTTATGAATGATAAAACTCACAAGCAACTGCATTTGGACGGCAAGCTTCTTTGCCAGCGTATTGAAGCCTACAAGAAGAGGTTTGTAGCTGCCAAGAGATGGGCCGACAACACTGGTGTGGGGATTGAAGAGGAGGAGGATATTGTTTTGATTGACGTACTCCTAGAAGGGAAATGCCCTTGCTACAAACGAATGTCAGCCCTCTTTGGTGGGAGGCCCAATGTCACCCCTGCGGCCCAGTATGAGTCCCAACAAGGAATATTGCTTTACAATCAGCCGGTTGATAACAACAATCCAGAAAATTGGAGCAATCCCAAAATTCTTTACCCCGGCTGGGAACCAACACAGGAGGTACTGGACCAGATGGCCGTTGTGAATGAATCACCCAATCTGGCAACCTCTGGGCAAGCAAATCAGACCTCTGGAGTGGATCAGTCCAACAAAAATCCAGATTTGCCTGATAGCCCCTTGGATGCTCCACCAAGTCACCAACCTACTCCTGCTCTTGCTTCATCCCCCGTTTGTGCCATGCCCTTGGCGTTGTCCACCCCAGGTTGTCAGCTTGGCTCGTCTCAGTCCTGCCGTACTATGGTGTCTATTCTTGCCGACCTCCAAGCAAAAATTTCAAGGGAGGAAGAAGATGAAGTGGAAGATGCTGAACCGTCAGGTTCAGCTGCGCCTTGTGGACAATTTGTCAATCAAGGCGATTGATTGATCTCTGCCCCAAGGAGGGAAACAAACAATCCCAAGGGCAAATCAACAGTTGCTGCTGCCTTTGGATCATCATCTGACCAGAAGTTTGCTTACCTTGATAAGCACATGGAGATGGAGGAACACAAGTTTGAGTGGGAAAAAGAGAAATACAAAGGCGAATAAATTGAAATACCACCCAAGAAAATGCTAAGATGTGTGCGGCCAAAAAATGGATTAGCAAGGGGAAGAGTCCTTCTGACATTGAGATCCTCATGAGAACTGTCTTCTAAGATGCTTCAAATTTTAATTTTCAACTACTTCACTTCTACATATCTCAATCAATCAATCAAACATAGTCTATAATGATTGATCTCCTGTTCCTCATTAACTTCACTTTGTAAGACTCAAAGCAAAAAAAAAAACAGAAAATTGTACTCCATTTAGGTCTATGGATAGATTAACATCATTACCAATCACAAAAGCTAGATCTACAATGATAATGAGATAGGAAAACTGAGAAAAAATGACCGGAGTCACTTGGATAAAACATAGGGGGTTACCAACTAGATGATTAAAGAGCAAGCACTATTCTTGAATATCTTCACGGTGGCCCTCAGTATTATCCTTGTGAGTTCCTTCTGAATCACCTGGCTCATTGTTATCATTTGGGGTTGCAAGTTTGTCCCAAGAGTTGCTGAGGTGCACCAGCATATTGTGTAGAGCCACACAACAGTTGATCCAGCGGATTATCTCAACCATGTGCTGGGGTGTATACAAGGATAACCAAAGCTGCTGGAGGGAGGCCCACTGGCCCTTGAGAATCCCGATTGTACGCTTGTTGCGTACTTGAGATTTAGCTAAACAATAGTTGAATTCTTTGTTTTGATTTATCTTCAAGAGTGGTGATTTATATGCTGGGATTGTTGTCATTGATAGTGCATAAGCCAAGTCTGCAATAAGATATTGACCTGGACAACCAAGAAGAAATCAATCAGACAGGCAAATGAATTGATAATTGATTCAAAAAGACAGACATTCTACATACCAGGGTCAAAAATGTTGAACTTCCAGTCCGAAGGGTTCATTTTCACCCTGCTGCGGCGCATCTGGTCACCTACCCGTGATGAGACACACAAGGTTTGAAACCTAGTTCTTCATCGGCTGTTGTATTTAGAGTTCCATTCATGTTCATGTTGTACTCTTTTTCTTCATCCGATTTTTCTAGTTTTTCTTCTCCTTGTTGCCTGAGTCTCACCGCGCTGTTCCACCTCACTGTTCGACCCAGGTCTGTAGTCTGCTCATCTTTGTCTTTCTCTTTTTGTCTTTTCTCATTTCTCATCTTGGTTCTCCTTCAGGTTCGCTTCAGTCTCTCTTGTCGTTAGTCCACGAATACCGTGTCCTAACATCTTGGTTTGGAAACCAAAGGTTAGAAATGAAACATCCGATTTTTCTAGTTTTTCTTCTCCTTGTTGCCTGAGTCTCACCGCCCTGTTCCACCTCACTGTTCGACCCAGGTTTGCTTCAGTCTCTCTTGTCGTTAGTCCACGAATACCGTGTCCTAACATCTTGGTTCGGAAAGTTGAAACCAAAGGTTCGCTTCAGTCTCTCTTGTCGTTAGTCCACGAATACCGTGTCCTAACATCTTGGTTCGGAAACCAAAGATCTTGAGTTCTTTAGGTTATGAGCCCAGAGGCGCTATAATCTCTCTCCAATCTAAGACTCTGATTGCTTAAATCACGATGAACGACAAAACGACCAATCCCGCTATCCCAATTCTTTCAAATCTGAATTGGGACCTATGGAGTATGATGATTGAAGGTAACATGAAACAACATGATCTGTATCCTTTCATTTCTTCTACTCAGACTGTACCTACGGATGCCGCCGAACTGAAATCTTTCAACACTCGGAAGATGAAGGCCTCTGGCGTCCTCCAACAGTACATGGGGATTACGAACTATCAAAAGTTCAAGACTGACACTACTAAAGACAACCCCCGAGAGATGTGGCTCAAAATCAAAGGCCACTATCAATCAAAAGCGATATCCAATCAGTGGAAAGTGTACAACGACTTTCTCGCACTTAAGTTTAAAGGAAACGACATCGAATCATTTATTTCCGATATCACTGCCCAAATCAGTCGGTTAAACGCTGTGGGCCTCCGAATCGGAATTCCTAAAGACTTCGAAATTCATGAGCATCTTTTCTGCGAGAACATTCTCGAGAAAATTCCTTCCGGTCTTGTTCACACTCGAGAGGTCTTAATTCAAAATCGTCCTCTTCTCGTGGACAAACTTCAGCTACTTCTTGAAAATCGACAACTTGACGACTCCACTGTGAAGATCAAATCTGAAGAGAGCGCAATGAAAGCCGTATCCAAACCGTCCGGATCAAGCAAACCAGAATGCACCAACGGCAGGCACAATCCGAATGCAACATCTCATCCCGAATCTAGATGCTTCGAACTTTACCCTGAACAGAAAGCGAGAATGCTCAAGAAAAGAGCCAAGTCTCAAGCCAAAGCTAAGAAAGCGGCGGCTGCTGACGACGACTCCTCAACATCGAGTGTGGCGTGGCATATAGTCAAAAAGTCATTGTCTGTCAAGCTGGCTCCCAACACAGCTTATCTCGATAGCGGTGCGTCACATCACATGATCTCGGACCGCAACTCGTTTTCGACCTACTCCACCGACTCAAAATGCAAGATTGAGCTTGCAGACGGCAAGACAGCTACCTGTCCTGGTGTCGAAAATGTTTATGTCAAAACCGAATCCGGACAGTCCTTGAAACTCGAATGTCTACACGTCCCTCAACTTGTAGGCAATCTCATTTCCGAAGGTCGACTATTTTGCCGCGGATGTGATTGAGTCAGGACGGGTCCTCTTACAGCCAATCTGGTCAGCGAAGGCGAGACCCTCTTCAAAATCAATCTCACCGATCAAGACGTATTCGTCATGAATCTCGAAATCGTCAAAGGCAAGTCCTTTCCATTGGCAAAGTTATCATCGAAATCGAAGAAATCTGACGTTGAACTTCTTCATAGGCGGGCGGGGCATCCAAGCAACGAATCCCTAAAGAAAATGTTCAATCTCTCCGACTTCAAATTTCACTGCGAAGCTTGTGCTCTCTCTAAATCTCATCGCCTTCCGTACACCGGGACTCTTCCCATTTCTACTCATTGTCTTGAATACATTCACTTTGACTTGTCTGGTCGAATTAATCCTCCTACTTCTGAAGGGTTTGAATACTATTTCAAAATAACCGATCAATTCTCTTCGTACAAATTTGTTTATCTACTACGAAAGAAATCTGAGGCATTTAACTTCTTTGAGCAATTCTATAATCTGGTTACAAACCTTCATTCTCGTCCGATTAAAAACATCACCACCGACGGTGGCGGAGAATTCAATTCCAACCAATTCAAATCGTTTCTTCGGGATAAAGGTGTTGCATCTCACATTACGGCTCCGTATACTCCTCAGCAAAATCCTGTGGCTGAGAGAGGGAACCGGACAACCACCAAGAAGGCAAGGGCCTTGCTGAAGCAAGCGAAGCTGGATCACTCTCTTTGGGGACATGCAGTGGACACTGCTGTCTTTCTTGAGAACATCACTCCCACCCGTAAGAAAAACTGGGTCTCGGCTTATGAGATCTGGTTTAAACGACCATTTGACTGCTCTCGTCTTCGTCCGTTTGGATGTCGGGCTTACATCAACGTTCCAGGCCAAAAACGCACGTCCAAGTTTGTCGACACTGCGAAAAAGGGCATCATGATAGGTTATCAGCTAGGAATGCATAACTGGCGCATTCTGAGAGAGGATGGACAGTTGGAGTTGAGTCACGATGTCGATTTCGACGAGACTCTCTATCCAGGAATCTCCTTGTTCAATCCCGCTGGCCTCATCAATCCTGTCGATCTCTTATCTGAGTCAATTGATTCAGACGATGAAGTACTTCCGGTTCGCCAATCCAATTCGCCTCCCGATGATTCAGACCATTCGGATGACAACGCCGAGCGACTCTTGACAATCCCCGATAACCAGGGAGAGTCAACGCAACCTCAATCTTCTTCGGACATACCATTGAATGAATCTCAAAAACGACCTGGCTACGACATTGTTCTACAACCGACCAATCAAAAAGCCCCCAACAATATCAGCAGTGACATTGACTCTGCCAACATCATTAACACCAAACGAAGAGCACATCTAGCAATAGTGGATCAGGACTTTGATTTTCATGTCCAATGTTTCCTTGCGGGTGCGCAATTCTTTGATCAGACTTCAGAAGCTCCGAAAACGTACTCTCAGGCTATGAGGGACCCTGATTCGGCAAGTTGGTTGACTGCTATAGAGGCTGAGTTGTCGGCAATGGAAAGACTTGGTGTATGGAAGGTAGTTGATATTCCAGCTGATGTCGAGCTTCTAAATACCGTCTGGATATTTCGCAAGAAGTTCAATGAAAATGGCGAACTATCTAAATTCAAAGCAAGACTCTGTGCAGCTGGCAACTTTCAAATAGAAGGCCTAAATTATGCCGAAACATATGCTCCGACTGGTCGACCTACAGCCTTACGCTCTCTTCTTTCCATGGGTGTGGCCAACAATCTCCAGATACATCAAATGGACGTTAAGAATGCCTTTCTCAATGGCAAACTGGACGAGACCATTTATCTACGGGCTCCTGCCGGACTCTCACTACCGAAAGGAAAATGTTTGCTGCTTCTCAAATCTATTTATGGTTTGAAGCAGGCTCCTCGAGTATGGCATCATGAACTTTCCTCATTTTTCAAGTCGATCGATTTCTCACCCTCCGATGCGGACCCATGTCTGTTTGTGTCAAATCACACTGATTGGCAATTCTGGGTTCACGTTTACGTAGACGACATGGTCATCGTCAGCAAGGATGTGGATAGGTTCAAAAAGTTGATTAATTCACGGTACCTGATGGATGATTTAGGATCTTTACAACATCTCCTTGGAATGAAAATTGAAACTGTCAATTCCTCGATACGATTGTCGCAAAATATCTACACCGAGAAAATCCTTTCATCCTATGGTTTGCTAAACTGTAGGACCGTGGAGACACCGATGGTACCTCACACTCGACTAGTCCCTGCATCGCCTGAAGATCAAATTGAATTTAGGAATCTCGGGATCAACTACCGGAGAGCTATCGGTCTGCTCAATTATTTAGCAGTATCAACTCGTCCCGATATCTCCTTCGTCATGTCTCAACTCTCACAATTTCTTGAAAATCCTGGTATCAAACATTGGGCCGCCTGTATTCATCTACTCCGGTATCTCTGCGCGACCTCAAAGCGTGGAATCACCCTCGGAGCGTCGGTGGCTCCGGTCAAAATTTTTGTTGACGCAGATCACGCCAACGACAAAATTCAGTCTTATTCTTACTTCTCCTACCTCGTCATGCTTGGCGACAGCGTGGTCTCATGGAAATCGAAAAAGAATCCTTCTGTCTCATCTTCTACAACTGAGGCCGAGTATACGGCGCTGTATGAGGGTGGCCGTGAAGCCATTTGGATCAAACGGTTACTCAAATCTCTCAACATGTCTCACGACCTCTCAATTCCGATAATGTGTGACAATCAAGCGGCGATTGATCTCTCGAAGAACTCTGTATTCCATGACAGGACGAAGCATTTTCGAATTCATCTGCATTGGATTAGAGAACAGGTCACCGAGCAAACCATTTCTCCGCACTACATTTCGACTCACTCCAACTTGGCCGACTTCCTGACCAAGTCTCTCTGCAAGATGAAACAAAATTCTTGTGTTCTGGGCATCAACCTGTCGGGTTGAAAATGAGGGGGGGTGTTGAACTTCCAGTCCGAAGGGTTCATTTTCACCCTGCTGCGGCGCATCTGGTCACCTACCCGTGATGAGACACACAAGGTTTGAAACCTAGTTCTTCATCGGCTGTTGTATTTAGAGTTCCATTCATGTTCATGTTGTACTCTTTTTCTTCATCCGATTTTTCTAGTTTTTCTTCTCCTTGTTGCCTGAGTCTCACCGCGCTGTTCCACCTCACTGTTCGACCCAGGTCTGTAGTCTGCTCATCTCTGTCTTTCTCTTTTTGTCTTTTCTCATTTCTCATCTTGGTTCTCCTTCAGGTTCGCTTCAGTCTCTCTTGTCGTTAGTCCACGAATACCGTGTCCTAACATCTTGGTTTGGAAACCAAAGGTTAGAAATGAAACATCCGATTTTTCTAGTTTTTCTTCTCCTTGTTGCCTGAGTCTCACCGCGCTGTTCCACCTCACTGTTCGACCCAGGTTCGCTTCAGTCTCTCTTGTCGTTAGTCCACGAATACCGTGTCCTAACATCTTGGTTCGGAAACCAAAGGTTCGCTTCAGTCTCTCTTGTTGTTAGTCCACTGGGTTCCAAATGAACCTTCATGTTCTTGAAAACTAAGCTATCACCACATGTTCCTGGCCACCCGGTCATGAAAAAGGTGATGAATCTATCACAATTGCATATCACTTGACAGTTGATCGAATACTGTTTCTTGCAATCCCAATATACTTCACCATCAAGACCGGATCATTGGTGTAAAGGGATTGTTGTGCCGTCCACAAAGCCAATGCATCCTTTGAATCCTTCTTGTCATCACTTCTGATATCTCAGCTTGTTGATCTTTATTAGGCAAAACAATGTAGTTGGTTGATACTTCATTAATTGCTTGAATAACACGCCAGCTGACTTTAACCAAAGCACTGTTCCCGTTAGATCCAAGTCGTTTGAGTGTAAGGGCCAATTGATGGGGAATGGGAAGCTGAGGCCAAGGGCTATTGCTGTAAAATATAGGATGTTGACAGATTTGATCAAGAAGCCAAAGGAATCCATCTTTGGTGGTTCTGACAGCTTGTTTGAAGTCTTTATCGCGCATGTCAAAAAGCTTGGCTAGGTCGTAATTGTCGTGGGTTGTTGGTGTGGTACGCAAGCTCAAATACTGATGTGAAAGTAACTCCTGCAGAATTTTGGCGACTTCTGCTTTGTCTGCACAAAACGTCTCCCAGATAAATTGTAAGCTGGGTTTGCCCAGAAAGAGAATCACACCAAAGCTGGGGATTGATGGAAGTTTCATGATGCCATTGAGAATTTCTTCGGTTGCCTCATTGTGATGGTACACCATGATGAGGAAGACCTCCCTGATGAGTTGTTGGTGTTCACTGAGCCCTTGCATACTGCTTTTTGAGTAGATAGTTGTGGCAGGCAGAACAGACCGTTTCCATTGGGGGGGGGTGGCCTTGAATTTTGCTGGATCCTTTAAACAGCTAGCTTAATTTAGGCTAAAATTTAAGCCTCCCATCTAGTACTCACAAATAGGGGTTCTTAAAAATCTTCCTCAGAAAGCCTTATCATGAACCCTGCTAATGGAAAATGATTTTCAATTTTTACAAGAAACATTAAAGGATATTAAGAGGGAAGATGCCAAGGGTGAATATCAACCAATGGAATCTGGAGTAATTGAGAAGCTAGGAAGCCATATTGATGAACTGAAAGAAATCCATCAAGCTATGATATTTCAAATACAAAATGGTATTCTGTTTTTGAGGCAAGAAGGATCATCTACAAGTAAAAGCCATGACTGGAAAGGAGTTGAAAAAGGATCAGAAATTTTGCATTCACAATTAGGAATCTGGGAAGAGCATTTAAAAGGTTTACTAGCCTGTAGGGATAAGACTCATTCTACATCAAAAGAACAGGAAATCATTGAGGATGAAATGAAGAATAAATATGATGCTTTCATAAGAGACATGCTTCAAAACATGAACAAGAAATCAAATGATCTGCATCAATTTCATGAAGAAGTAGAAGTGAATCCTATTTATGGGATCAATTACACAGCAGTGAGACTCCAAATCCACATATTTCAAATCATTGATTACATGTACCAGCATAAGTTTATCAACACAAGTCATTTCCAACTGTTCCTTGCAATGGAAAACACATTTGATATTTCTGCAATCACCAAGATCACAGCCTTCAAATTAAAATTCAAGTTTTCTGCTAGCCATTTAAGCTTTGCCAGTAGTAAAGTGATGCCTCAAAATTGGTACTTGTCACATTTCAGGAGTATTCCACAAGGTGAGATAGACAGAAGATCAATCCATTTTCTATGTAAGATTCACTTTTTTTAATGATTGTTTGAAATTTTTACATCTTCACAAATCTTTGCTTGAATTCAAATTAATATACCTTTTGAAGTAATTGATGAAAAGAAACAGAGATGACATTCATTTTTGTCTCTGAAGGCATTGTTCAAGTATAAATATTCAAGTTTTTATTTGGGCATGAATCCCTTTCAAGACAACACATTCTTCCACACATTGGAAGAATACATAAATGTAAAAAACCTATCAAAAGATGCACAGGAAGAATACAGAGCAGAAGAAAAAACCTTTTCTAAACTTAATGAAACACTCGAATCCCTCAAAGCTTCATTTAGAACTGATGGATCAGATTATTCAAGGTTTGAAAGAAACAAGATATATTCATTCTTCATTTTAGAATTTGTTGCAGAGAAATATGGTTCAGATATTCTATGTGATGTATACTACACAAAACAAGAAATTGAAAATCAATTCAGGTTAATGAATTACCTGTTAAGATTTTATGAAGAAATCAATAATCTGGAGCATTATTTAACCATTAATTTGAATTCAGAAATGCTTGACATTAGTACACGGGATCATATTGAAAATGTTAAAAACTTGATTGTCCATTATGAAGATGAAATGGTGAATATTTCAAACTATTGGAAAATCATCTTGTCTGAAATCTCTCAAACCCTTAATTCAAATGTTTCCATGAGCGCATTTTCTGGAATCCGCAGATTGGATAAATTCCCAGGACAAATCAAGAAAGCATTGGAGTTTTCCATGGTATTAGCAGATGGAATGAAGGAAGATAGCAGCAACGGTGGGCTGCTACACTAACCGTAGCGGAATTCCGCTAACACTTAGCGTAGCGCAGCGGAATTCTACCACAACTGCGCTAATGCTACGCGTGTGGGCCCCAAAAAAGGGCCCACTATGCTGCACTACAGCACATTTTAGCGGTTTTTGGGCTGTTTTTGACGCTAAAAGCGCTGTAGCGCAGCGTAAGGTAGTATAGTGGCGCTAACAGTGAGCTAACACTACAGGTTTGGCGCGCTGTTTTGAGGGCCGCTACACTACACTTTTTGGGGCAAAAGCGTAGCGTAGCGGCGCTTTTTTGCGCCAAAAATTTGCAGTAGGGGGTATCAAATATAGGAAATCCACCATTAGAAACCAGTCACTTTTCCAAAATTATTTTTTTGCATCAATGGGCCCCAGATGGGGTTAAATGAAGAACCAACATGTTTTAAAAAGGGTGGATTTTTTCAAATCAGTCAATTCAATAAGAGCCTTAATAAAAAAACTCAGTTTTTCCGTGTTTTGACGTGGTTTTGCTGCGGCACAGCGCACAGGGTTTCCGCGTTTGGACGCGGTTTTTTAATTAATTTATTTTTGCCATTAATTTTGAATTTTTTTGATTTTTTAAAGTTGTTTCCTACACTTTAAAAGGGGTAGAATTTAATGGTGAAAACCATTTTCCATAAAAATGAATTTTAACTAGGGCTTTAATAAAAAAACCCGCATTTTCCGCGTTTTGACACGCTTTTGCTGCGGCACAGCACACACGCAATCCGTGTTTAAACCCGCTTTTTTAATTAATTTATTTTTGCCATTAATTTTGATTTTTTTTGGGCCTTAATAAAAAAACGCGGTTTTTCCGCGTTTTGACGCGGTTTTAACGCGCCGCAGCACACGCGGTTTCCGCTTTTAGACGCGGTTTTTTAATTAATTTTTTATGGGTTATTTTTTGACTTTTTTTGAATTTTTAAAGTTGTTTCCTACACTATAAAAGGCGTAGAATTTAATGGTAAAAACCATTTTTCATAAAAATGAATTTTGATTATTAATTATTTTTTTTCACTCATTTCTCAATTAATTGTTTGCATACATGAATGTACCTTATTTTTTATGCTTTTGTGAAATTTTAAAATTATTTCCTAGGTTTCAATGTGTGTAGAATTTAATGGTGCAATCCAATTTTTTTAAAACTCAATGGTTCATTTTGAATACTGAAATTAGACCCATTTTTTCACTTAATTTTTTACAGCTTAATTCTCATCATTTTTTGACATTTTAAATTTATTTCCCACACTTTAAGACATGTAGAAAATGATGGTAACAACCATTTTTCCCCAAAATGAAAACTATACCTTGAATGCCGCATTTGACACGTTTTTTTTGATTAATTCATCACTTTTTCACTTAATTGTTTGCATACATGTTTGTACCTTATTTTCTATGCTTTTTTGAAATTTTAAAGTTTTTTCATACATTTAAAAGTGTGTAGAATTTAATGGTAACATCCAATTTTCTTAAAACTCAACAGTTCATTTTTAATACTGAAACTAGACACTTTTTTCAATTAATTCTTTACATGTTATTTCTCACTATTTTTTGACATTTTAAGTTTATTTCCCACACTTTAATACATGATAAAAATGATGGTAACAACCATTTTACATAAAAATCAGCGCTTGTTACTGAATACTGCAGTGGACAGGCTTTTTTTAATGTTTTTTTGATTGATTTTTACCGGCCTGATCTTAAGCATTTTTTTTATTTTAAATTTATTTCCTACATTTACAAATGTTTAGAATTGAATGGTGAAGTCCAATTTCACTCAAAATACAAGCTTCAATCTTAATAGATGAGTGTACCCTGTTTCTTGCATAATTTGTACCGTATACAAATTTTATTTGAATGCAAAATGGATACAGCCAGCAATTTTGAAACCTTTCAAAGTGTAGGAAATGAGCTTAAAATTCCAAAAAATAAGGATAATTAAGTGTGTATGAATTAATTAAAAAAACACGTCAAAGGCATTATTCAAGATACAGTTTTTATTTTGATGCAAATTGATTGTTTTCATCATTTTTAAAATGTCTGTAAGTGTAGGAAACAAATTTAAAATGTCAAAAAATAATGAAAATTAAGCTCTTAAAAATCAATTGAAAAATATGACTAATTACAGTATTCAGAATGAACCGTTGAGTTTTATGGGAATGGAATGTTACCATTAAGTTTTACACACTTCTAAATGTAGGAAACAAATTTAAAATTTCAAAAAAGCATAAAAAATAAGGTACACACATGTATGCAAACAATTAAGTGAAAAAGTGATGAATTAATTAAAAAAAACGTGTCAAATGCGGCATTCAAGGTATAGTTTTCATTTTGGGGAAAAATGGTTGTTACCATCATTTTCTAAATGTCTTAAAGTGTGGGAAATAAATTTAAAATGTCAAAAAATGATGAGAATTAAGCTGTCAAAAATTAAGTGAAATAATGGGTCTAATTTCAGTATTAAAAATGAACCATTGAGTTTTAAAAAAATTGGACTGCGCCATTAAATTCTACACACATTGAAACCTAGGAAATAATTTTAAAATTTCACAAAAGCATAAAAAATAAGGTACATACATGCATGCAAACAATTAATTGAAAAATAAGTGGAAAAAAAAAATTAATAATCAAAATTCATTTTTATGAAAAATGGTTTTTACCATTAAATTCTACGCCTTTTATAGTGTAGGAAACAACTTTAAAAATTCAAAAAAGTCAAAAAATAACCCATAAAAAATTAACTACAAAACCGCGTCTAAAAGCGGAAACCGCGTGTGCTGCGGCGCGTTAAAACCGCGTCAAAACGCGGAAAAACCGCGTTTTTTTATTAAGGCCCTTTTTTTTTTTTATTTTTTAAAATTTTTTCCTACACTTTGAAGGGTGTAGAATTTAATGGTAAAGTCCATTTACCATAAAAATGACTTTGATTTTTTTTTCTGCTAACTCATATGTACAATTAACTGTTACTGGCTTGTTTTTCATTATTTTTTGACATTGTAAATATGATTCCTACACTTTGAAAGGTGTAGAATTCAATGGTAATAATTATTTTGCATAAAAATGAATTGTATGCCAGGTGCAATTTTTTCCCACTCATTTTTCCTATTAATTGTTACCCGCTTGTTTTTAATTCTTTTTGTTGAGATACTGTGACATGACAATGACTGCTACATGTTCACCGTAGCTATTGTGCTTCTTTCTTCTTTCACTTCTTTCATTTCTCTCATGTCACACTCTGTGACATTCAGTTGTTTTGTCTCAGTTCATATACTGGATTCATGTGTGCCAGGGAGGATTTCCTTTTCCTCATCCTTTCCAACACACATGTCTCCAGGTATGGTCTTTTTCCTTTTTCTTTCTCTTTCTCTTTTGTTATGTTTAAATGAACTCATATCCTTTCCAACACACATGTCTCCAGGGTGTCCATCTCAACAGGTTATGAGGCCCCTTTGTGCTTAATTGCTGTCCACTCTACTCGCTCAATCACTCCTCACTCGTTTTTTTTAACTGGACCGTATCGTGATTATCGCGCCTTGAACACTCTGGACGATTTCGGATCTCAGGATCTTCGCCGCTATGTCTAACCCTACAACCCAAACTAACGACGATGCCGATAACCTTAATCTTAAGGTGTCGGGCATCGTGCAACTTAAACCTCAAGGTGCGGACTCAAACTACCTCGATTGGAGTTTCGTGGTCCTTCTTCACCTGAAGTCCCTCAAACTAGCGTACGTCCTTGAGCCCAAGGCTTCTCCTACCAGCACTGAGGCGAAATTGACGACTCCGCTTCCTTCTTCTCGAGTCAACAACAGTATTGCCGTCTCGTCGTTCATCGCTAGGACCATTCATCCTAGTAATCTTAGGTTCATCAGAGCTCACGGCGCTGATGCTGCAGCAATGTGGGCATCGCTATCGCAGGCACACCAAGACTTCTCTTCAGGAGGTCGCATGCACTGGCTGCGACAACTCGTCGTTGCTCGACTCACCTGTGACAACATTGATTCGCACATCGAATCGATGGCAGTTTGCGCAGAGCGCCTCGGGTCGCTGGTCACACCTGAGAAACCCCTCACGGTTGACGACATTCACGCCACCGCCCTCCTTACTTCGCTTATGGATGATTGGCTTCTGTGTGTATCCTTGCTGATGAATGAGGATTCTGTAACTTCATCGCGGATCGTCTCGGCCCTCAAGGCCGAGTCTCTTCGTCGTAAGGCTCGTCGCGAGGACGACACTACCGTCTCCGTCTCCAAGGCTCGTGCCGACTACGCTAAAGGCAAGCCTTGCTTCAATGAAGCACTCCACTGCTCCTTTTGCAACCGATCCGGCCACGACCTTGCTATCTGCAAGAACGCCGCACGGGTGCTCCCTGAGCATAAGTCCGGCCACTCATCAGGTAACACAGGAGGTCATTGTCATCCCGATTCTGCTCGAGACAACAGACGACATGCGCCCAACAATCGCTCGTCCAATCGTGCTGCTTCCACTTCTAAGCCCCCTGTGACTGCAGGTCAAGCCACCATGGTGGAGCTGGGTTATGAATCCTACGACGAGGAGTCAGACTTCTCGGTTCCCGAGCGCGCTGGAAATGCCGCTGTTGGCACCTATCCTGTGGAGTCTCCCAGCAATGTTGATGCCAACATTGACTCAGGATGCTCCATCTCAATGACTCCTCACGAGTCCACTGTCGACCGTCTCAGGCCCGACTCTACCTCTGTCCGCCTGGCCGATCGGTCTGAAGTCTTTTCCACTTTTCGCGGCTCTCAGTCACTTCCGCTCTCTGTTGACAAACATGTCCCCACCCTCGTCGTTCCAGGCCTCCACAAGCCTTTACTATCTGTGGCTGGTTTGTGCAACAAGAACCTTGTGGCCGTTTTCACCGCCGATTCATGCAACTTCTACGAAGC